AAAACGAAATACCTTCATCTAGTTGTGATATTAAAGTCAACTGAGCAAGAACGAGCATTACAAAAGCCATCAGCTGGCACTTCAGCACAGCTCCCAAAACGGAGAAACAGAAAGCACCCGAGGAGAAGAAAAGGCGAGGGCAGGAGCGAAACTCTCCCCAAAGAGCTGAAATCGCAGCAAGTGGCGAAGTGAGTTCGCAGAAAAACAGACATGAGAAAGTTTACTTCTCACAAGATAAAAAACTGACGTGGTTAGAAAGTCATCTTACAATTGGTGCCAATCATTTGACGTTTGCAGACCTACCCCCAACCCACACTCTCAGGAGAGTCCTTCATTTGGGACAATGGGGGAGGGGGGGAAACGAGAGACACAACTCATTTTCGGGCAATTTGAGCCCGTGCCCCCGTTCAGAAGTGTTCCGCAATGGCTGTCTCAGACAATTACAGCCTCTCAAAGCACCACATTTATTTATTATTTTTTTTTTCCCGAACTGCTCCACTCCAACAGAATTGTGCAATATAGACCTATTTACCTTCCCAACCCTTCCCCCCCTCCTCAGATACTTCAACAGAAATGAACAAGCCGAACTACTTGACCTCAGCTTTTACATCGCGATAAATCAGCTGCCACATAGTCTCTCTCTCTAACAAATTTAACAAATTCGTGCCCAGCCCCTCCCCCGAGCCAGCTCGAAGGTGTTTGGTAAAAGCATCTCTCCACGGGCTCCTGCCAAGCGCCGTTTTTCTTACGGGGACGGCGAAAAACAAGAGCCAGAGACGGACAGAAAAGCTTCCTTATTAACAGCCGATTAGATCTGATTGCGACAACCCCTGTCAGGGACAAACTCGGGGCTTTTTTTTTTTTTTTTAAGCCTGAGGAGCCCGACTGAGGAGCCCTTGTCACGCTCCTTCCAAGTCGCAGAATATTCCGAGTTGGAAGGGACCCACAAGGACCGTCGAGTCCAACTCTTTTAAGTAAATGGCCAGTCGTTAAGGGCTTTCTTAGGGTTTCTCTCTCATCCTTCAAGCATCAAAGCAGAGCTGCTTGCAGAAGGGTCTCTGCTCTAAGCAGATTAAAATCGGGTCTCTCCGCTACTCGAACGCGTTCCCGTCCTCGGCGGGTCTCCGAGGGTCCCCAAGGGCACAGCGGGACCCTCGGGCGGCTCAGCCCCCGTGTGACCCCCCTCCCCAAACCCGACAGCAGCCGGGATGGCCCCGCCGAGCCCGGACCCGTCGGTGTGACCCTCAGCGGGGCCGTGGGAGAGGCGCTGCCGCCGCTTTTCCCTCAGGGCGAGGGGGAAGTGGAAAAAGGCGGCGCGGGGCAGAACCCGCCGCCCCCTCAGCACTCCCTGCCCTTCCCCTCAGCACCCTCAGCCTTTCTGCCTCAGCACCTTCCCCTCACCACCCCTATCGTCCCTCTCAGCACCGTCTCCTCAGCACCCCATATTCCCCCTCGGCACCTCTGTTTTCCCCTCCAGCAGCCCTGTCTTCCCCCTCAGCGTCTCCTATCTCCCCCTCAGCAACTTCCTCAGCACCCCGTACCCTTCCCCTCAGCATCTTCCCCTCAGCACCCCCTGCCTTTGCCCTCAACAATCCCTGTCTCCCCCTTAGCACTTTCCCCTCAGCACCCTCAGCACCCCCAGCCCCCCTGAGGGCGCCTCCTCTGCCGCTCTCCCCCCGCGGGCGAAGCCCCCCCGACCCCGCCGCCCTGAGGGCGAACCGCCGCCGCCTCCTCCCGCCGAGCTCGTACCTGCTCGTCCCGGCGGCTCCCAGCCCCGGCGAGGCGGCGGCGGCGCGGGCGGCCGCGACTGCTGTGGAAGCTCGGCCGCTTCCACACTCGAAAATGGCGCCGAAACGGCGAACTCGAACCGAAATTCGTTAGAAAAGCGCGGGGCAGGCTGGGACGGGAGGGGCCGGGCCCGGGGTTTGAACGGCACCGCCGCCCCGCCCGCCATCTTGTGTTCGTTACCGCGGGCAGGGGAGGGAGCGCCGGGACCCGCCGGGAGCGGCCGCCCGGGGGCAAAACCAGGGCGAAGGGAGGCATTTAGGGGGCGAGGGGGACGCGACCCCCCGCGGCCCTGCCCCGCGCGGAGAGGGTTTAGCTTTAATTTTTAGAAGTAGGTCAGTGGGCGGCGCTCGGTTGCCGGGCGACGCGCGCCGGTTTAAAAATGGTTAAAAAAAAAAACAACCAAAAAACTGTAAAAGAACTTCTAAAAGTTAAAAAAAAAATTAAATAAAATTTTAAAAAATCAATAAAAACGGCGGGCGCGCGGCTGTTTTGAAGCGGGTTTTACTAATTAGCGGGCGGCGCCGTGGCACCTCGGGGGGGGGGGGGGGGGGGGGTGTGTGAGGTGGCGGAGGGCGAGGAGGAGGAGGAGGAAGAAGAAGATGGAGTCTCGCGAGAAGTCGCCATAGAGACGGCGGCGCTTGGGCGCGGGGGGAGCGGGTCCCGCCGCTCCTGAGGCCACGGGAGACGGGAGAGAGAGGCGGGATTATCCCGGGATACGGCGGGAGCGGGGTCCGGCCGCCGCTCTGCGCTGTCCCCCCGCTGCCCGCGCAGGTAAAGGCGGCCGCCGGCCCCTGTCAGCGGCAGGACTGAGTCAGCCCGAGGGGGGCGAGGGGGCGGGCGCCGGGACCCCCCGAGGCCGGGAGAGCTCCGGGCACAGGGAGGTGAGTGAGGGCGGGGGAACCGCGAGCCCGGCGCTGCCCGGGGGTGCTGGAAAATCTGCCGCTTGGGAAGCTGGAAACGGGGTGTTGGCGCGGGCGGAGAGCGGGCTCTGAGGGCCGATGCTGCCCCGAGGGGTTGGTGTTTCCTTCCCGGTGCTCCTCCGTCCTGCCCGCTGGTTTGGCTTCCCAGCGCTGCCCCCCCATCCTGCTCTCTGGAATTCCTTCCCAGCGCTGCCCCCCCATCCCGCTCTCTGGAATTCCTTCCCAGCGCCGCCCCCCCATCCTGCTCTCTGGAATTCCTTCCCTGCGCTCCCCCCATCCTGCTCTCTGGAGTTCCTTCCCTGCGCTTCCTCGTTCTGCCCGCTGGTTTTCCTTCTTTGCATTCCCCCTATCCTGCTCTCTGGCATTGCTTCCCTGCACTCTCTCCATCCTGCTCTCTGGCATTCCCTGCATTTCCCCCTATCCTGCTCTCTGGCATTGCTTCCCTGCACTCTCCCCATCCTCCTCTTTGGCGTTCCCTGCATTCCCCCCCATCCTGCTCTCTGGCATTCCCGGCTCCCCCCTATCCTGCTCTCTGGCATTCCTGCGCTGCCCCCATCCCGCCCACTGGTTTCCTTCCCCGTGCTCTCCCCCTGTCCTGCTCTCTGGCATTCCCTGCGCTCCTCTATCCCGATCTCCTCCCTCTCCTCCCTCGTCGCTGATCCCGATCTCCTCCTGTCCCAGCAGCTCCGGAGGGAGGAGGCGGTATCCCGGAGTTTGGCGTCTCCCGGCCGGAATAACTCCCGGTTATTGCCCCATCTCTCCTAAACCTCCAGCGGAGCCGCTGCTGGATCCCTCGGGAGCTGTGTGGAGCGATCCATGGCATGGGTGGTGATGGATGTACCTGTGGGCGTTCAGCCCCCTGGGGGCACGTACTGACCCATTAAACCGTATTCAAAAATTACAGTAAAGTTCTGGGCTTGTCTTTGGAAGGAAAATGTTATTTTCCCTTCTGTCCACCCTTCTGGCTGTGTGTCAGCACAAGGGAACTTCAGTGTTTCAACCTTTAGTGTTTCAGACTTGGTGATCTTAAAGGTCTTTTCCAACCTTAACAATCCAAGGATCCTCTGTTCCCAGTATCACTTTTTCTTTAAATTGTCCACTCTGCTTATACTAAGCAAGATAATAATTTTACAGTTGGGTACTGTATGAAAAAGGTCTGGTTTCATGCTTGTTTTCCCACAGTACTAATGTAATATTACATCAAAACTTTTTATTTTAATACTAATGTCTTCCATTTTAATTTGGCTGCTTATATATGCATGTATGTTATGCTGCTAACATATATATGTATTTGTTTTCTTGTATTACAGTTCTAACATATGGGTTTTTAATGCTTCACTTGAACAACTGAGATGAGACTGAAGACTTCACTTTTAAAGGAACCAAAACATATCCTTTATGACAGAAAAAAACCACAGAACACCATGTTCATTCTGAATAGACTCTTTTCCAGAAAATATTTCCTTATCATAGAAGTTACAGTAAAATGCAGGTGGCTTTTTGTTTCTTTTTCTTTTCTTCCCCTTGTCCTTCAGTGCAGCCTTTAAGCACAATGTTTTAAGAGATACTGAATATTTTTTGAGTAATAACTTTTCTTCAGCAGCTCTCAGTATCTTGCCAGGAAGTTTTTGAGTTTTCCTTCTTATTTGTAGTGATAAGTTAAAAGCTTTCCCAGACAGCAAATGAGAGCAGTGATTTATCTACCTGCACGTAGCAGACGTAAACAAAACTGGAATTTTCCTATTAATGTATTGGATGTATAGCAGTTTATAATTTATGTGATAATAAAGCAACACTTTTGAATGACACTTGGCTGTTTTGCACTTGCCTTGTGCACTCAGACCCTTCTAAGGGTGTAACCCAACATTTCAGCTGTGTTTCAATAACTTTCCATCATCATAGTAATTGTATTTTTACATGAGAGTTTGCTTTATTTTTGGGTGAATTTCTCTCAGCTCTCCTCTTGCCACAAAAGAGCAAAAAGAGAAAGAAGACTCTTAGTGTTTATGCAAAAACATTCCATGTAACCTCATGAAAATCATCTTCCTGTGTCGTTCCTTCAGTTTTGCGTAGCTCGGATATTTTTTAAGCTTATTTTTGCTACTTAAAATGTTCCTGTTCCTTAATTGAACCGAACATAAGGAACTGGTGAGCTGTGTGGGATGGACAACAGCTGATGAGCTCTACTCCTGCAGTGATGATCACCAGATCATGAAATGGAACCCTTTAACAAGCGAGACAACTCGGGTGGTCAAACTTCCAGAGGAGATTTATCCCATAGATCTCCACTGGTTTCCCAGGAGCATCGGTGGGAAGAAGCAATCCCACGCTGAGAGCTTTGTTCTGACGAGTTCTGATGGTAAGTCAGCTGAAAATATTTCTCTTTTCACACCACTTTGTGTTTCTGTCACTCAAAGTACACGGGGCGTTATTTCGGGAGCAGGAAGGTTTGAGGATTCCTTGGCAGGGGTGTTTTCCCTGCTCCTCGAAATCCAAAAATCCATTTTGCACACAGCCACATTTTTCTTCCTGCATGAATTTTCCTGCAACAGCTTATTCCTGCAATTTTCCTGCAACAGCCAATTCCTCTCGGTGCTGAGGATTCCTGGAAACTCTGTGAATCCAATGGAAAAGGAGTCTGATGTCTTTACAGGGTTGCATTAATTCCTGGTTGAACTCCAGATGTTTGTGAAATTAGAGCAAATGTAAATTTAATCCTCTTGAGTTTTCTTCTGAGATGCTTCTCTTGGGGGACATTGTTCTTTTACTTCCCACTTACATTGATCTCCTTGCTGGTTTTTTTACAAAAACAAAGAATATGCTCAGCTTTAAATGGCAAATTAAGCACAAATCATAAGTGATTAGACCTATTTTTTCACTTTTTTTGGATAGTTCTACATTGGGTCAGCATTTAAGAGTCTAAGAAACGAAATGAAGAAAACATACATGTTTTATATTCCATATTTGAGTGGGGTGTGAATCTCCCACTTGCAATTCCTCCAAAACTGGAGAGTCACTTTCAGATCGAGGACAGTTCTGCCTTCAGTACTTAATAAAAATAAAGGAGCAGTACTTCACAAATCTGAGCTGTAAAGTAAGATTAAATCACTCCTACCTACTGCAGGCATGTGGCTAAAATTTTCCCTTTCCTGTGTTTAAGGCAGCCAGTTGTGATTTGAAAATCTCTGTGCCCTCGGTGTTAAGTTGAAGAACAGAAATCCGTGGGAACAAACGTGGCTTTTGGAGGAACCTCCACGTGTGAAGGCAGTGAAAAAAAAATCATTTCACTGTCATCACTTATAAATTCAGGTGTTGGAAAAGTAAAGAAGCTGCAGAAGTAAAGATGCTGTCAATGAAAACTCCTGTTCTGCAGGAGGGTTGTGATACAGTTTTAAGTGGTGATCACATTTTTTCCAGATGAATTCTCGGTGCCTGCTTTTATATGTAACATATTCTTCCCTGCAAGGCTACAATTTGCTGTCTCCCTATTTGAAAGGTGCCTTGTGAAAGAAGCAGGAGCTTGTGGAGTGGGAAAAGATGCAAAAAATTGGTAAAGGAGTTGGATGTTTCCCTGTCTGAGAGGATTTTATCCCAGACTCCTGATAATTTGGCCTCGCCAAAACCTTCAGGTCCTCACCAGCTTCCTCTTCTTCCATCTAAATTTAGTTTTTATGTGTTGAGGTGTTGCTTAAATTTAATTTCAATTTCCCAGGAATTCTGCCTCGGTCAGTGGAAGCTCTTGGTTCAATATATAAAATGCCAGGGAATTCTTCATATCCTTAAAAATGTAATGGCTGGGAAGAGCTCACCACTTACTGCTGAGCACTGTAGGTGATGGCATGAGAACATTCATGTGATAAGAGGTTTAATTATTGTGCAATGAAAAAGGTCTTGGCTACAGATGCAACAATAAACAATAATAAGGAAATAAACAGAAAATAAACCTTATTTTTAATGTATTAATTTAGGGCCATTTTTGCAATTGAGTTGGAGGAAACACCATTGAATTCCTCTGAATCCAGTTATTACTTGTACAGGGAAAATGAGATTTTCAGACCTGAGAGATGATCTATAGGTGATACATTAATTAGATAAGATGTAATTTATAATTCTACAATAATGGAATGCTTTAAATTAACCCCCTGGAAGTGTCCAAAGCCAGGTTGGACAGGACTTGGAGCAACCTGGGATAGTGGAAGGTGCCCTTGGATAGTGGAATGAGATGAGACTTAAGATCCCTTCCAACCCAAACCATCCTGTAATTCTATGGTATTTTAAATACATCAAATAAACTGATTTATCCAAACCATACTCTTCCCATCAGTGTCAAAAATCCTTTCCTTGGAAACCTTGCTCTGCCACAGATTTGGTGGGATGATGGTGCCTTTTTGTTCAGGTGCTTAAAAGTAAAAAGCAAAGTGTGATTGTATGGATTTGACTGATGCTGTGGAGAGCCCTGGTGTTTGTTTATTTAGTGACAGATCCACTAGAATGCTTTTCCTTGGATTTAGTTTGGCTTTATTTGTTATTTTGGGGATGTTCTGTTTTGTCTCTTAAGTTCTGGGCTCTCTGGAACATCCTCGTGGTGCTTCACTGGCTGGCAGGTTAAATCAAATAATATTAAAATAATTGGATTTTAAAGTAGTTAATTGGAATCCCTGGGCTGGTTTAAGCCATGCATTTGTTCTGCCACATGTTTCCAAGCCCTCTTTGTCTGCTCTTTGGTCTAATTTAAATTTGGTCTTCCTGGATTTCAGCAACATCCCTCATTTGGAAAGGGACACTTCCTCCTGCTTCTGTTGAAATCATTAATAGCTTTGTTTTTGGCTGCTCTGAGTTTCCATCACAGCTCCAGAAGGCAGGAATACTTCCCTCACCCGTGGTTGGATTGTTCCAGCTTTTCCAGTATTTTGGGATTGAGTAGATTCAGATGGTTTTTGGGATCTCAAAAAAAACCAAAAATTCCACCAAAACCAAGCCAAGGACCCTCTGGGCTGCACGTGGAGCTCCCAGACACTGCAAGAACATCAGGCACTTGTGTCCCCAGAGGGATTTGCAAACTTTTGAGGGACATAAGAAAAAGAAATAGGTAAAACAACAGTTATAGATAAAGAAGGGAAATAAATACAGCACTGGGGCTGGTTTGCAGGTTCTGCAAGAGCTCGTTTGTTTGGGGTGATCAGAGCTGGGAACAATTTTATTTTCTTTTTCTTCTTGCTGGTTTCTTGTTTTGTCTGTTTTTAACAGAAGGTAACATCATTACAGCAATATTATATAATTTAATCAATAATCTGATATATTAATTTAGCATATACAATTTAATTCTATATTTAATAACTTTGTGTGTATTATTTTATATGTATAAAATCATACACACATATAGAAATTACGTGGGTTTTTTATGTCTTTAGGGAAGTTCCACTTGATTTCCAAGTTAGGAAGAGTGGAGAAAAGTGTGGAAGCACATTGTGGAGCTGTGCTTGCAGGAAGGTGGAATTATGAAGGAACAGCACTGGTCACAGGTGAGCATTTGGACATTAATGAAGTGATTTGAAACCTAAAATAGCAGAAGAACTCTTTGAAAATCAAGCCTTCTGGTTTTTTAATACAGTATTTCATAGTTTAAATTGTAGTTGCATTGAATTTAAATGAATAAAACTGAGTCTCTTCAGTGTTCACACACTGCTTGAAATTCTGTGAGAAGGGGGAAAATGGAAACACAAAATCAACAATAGAAATGAAGTTACTTTTTTTGGTCTTAATTATCACTGAAGTTGTTATCACCTTGTTCAATAGAAGTTAATTTTGCACTGATTAATTCTATTTTAGGTTAACATTGTCTATTTTAATTAATAGAAGATCTACTAAAAACACTCCTCTTTTTTAGGGTCCTATTTATTTGATGTCATCCTATTTACTTGAAAGTAAATGTTTTTAAAATCAGAGTGCTTGGATGGTTTTGTGGTTGTTCTGACCTTCATAAAAGAGAATATTTGATTTATTTTTCTCTACCTTTTTCCAAAAACAGGCTGCTAAGTTGGTCCATTTCTATCCCTGCACATTTGGGAGTTTTTTTAGCCAACAAGGTTTCAAAGCATCTTGAGTATTCCTTTTTCTTCCTTAATTATCAGGAGCGGTGTAATTATCACCTGCAGCCTGGGAGTGATCTCCCAATGTTTCCATCTCTACACCCTTTTTGTCCTAAATCTTTTTGGTAATTAGTTGCTTTTTGGCATTTTTTTGTCAAAAACTTGTACCTTGGTGTTCAGGGGAACTGTTGAAATTCCCTGTGAGCGGCTCCTTGCTGGATTCCTGTCGGTGTCAGGATTCTCTGCAGCCTCCTGTTGATCTGGGACAGCTGATTCCTCTGGACAAATTCCAAGTCAGTCCACAAGTACTGAAGAGAATTTTGGAGCTGCTCATTTCCAGACTCAAGTCTGACTGAAAAAATGCTGCTTCAAGGAACTCTGTCTGGCTTGTTCCTCTGAAATCCCACAGGGAGAGAAATATTGTTCTTTTTAAAGACAGATTTGCCTCAGGAAATTCTCCAAAGGAAAAATCAAAACTGCCTTTTCAAAATTGCCTTTTGAACCCTTTATTTTGTTGTTTGTTTGGGTGTTTTTGTTTTTTTTTTTTGAGACTGGATGACACTTCTTGGGAGTGTGGGAATTCATCACTATTTCCACTTTGAGATCATCAACTGCTCTTATACCACAACTAGACATTGAAGAAGAGCAAATCATTGATACTGCATCCCTCAAAATATTTTTATGGCTGCATTTCAACAGCATCAAGTGTGCACAAACAAGATTTTAAAATTACCATTTGTTTTGCATTTTTTAAAACGCTTAAAAGCTACACTGGGCAGATCCAAAAAACCTGAAACGTGGTAAGGAAATTACCTTTGAATGGAAGAATTCCATTAAGTTTCTAGGAGCACCTTTTTCCTCATTAATTGGATCTGGGAGGCTTAAATTGCAGGGCCAGAGCTGTACATTTTAAATATGAGAGCACACCAGGAAATCTGTGCTCTTAATCACAGAAGAGATTTGTTCACAGTAACAAAATCACCCTCCTAAATACTTTTTCCTTAATATATTTTCTATTTGCATGTTTGGAGGACTAAATAAAAGGTATTACCTGTAAGAAGACCTGGATTAATTTTAACTCCAGTGTTTCCTAGGTAGGAAGTTTGTTAGATTTAATTGTTGCATTGAATTTGGTGATTTCTCTGCTCATTTTCAGTGGGTGAAGATGGCCAAGTGAAAATCTGGTCTAAAAGTGGAATGCTGAGATCCACTTTAGCTCAGCAAGGTAAGATCATTTCCTTCAAGTTCTATCAGAACTTTTTAATTTGGGTTGGTCTAAAATACATTTAAATAACAGACCCTGAATCTGGCAGTGCTGGTTTGGTGAAGAGTCTTCAGGCCTAGAGAAACTTAATTAAAATTAAGTGTACCTTACAGTTGAACTGCCATTTAGTAAGGTCTTAGAAAATCTCATTTTAACAAAGAATTCTCCAAATGAAAAGTTTCATTGCAGTAATTTTAGACAGCAGCCTCAGTTCCACCCCAAGGATTTTCTGCTATTTCAGTGAAGGCACTTGAGCTAAATTTTGTTTTTCAGACTTCATACATGGAGCCCATGTGACCTGCTGACATTTTTGAAGAAACCACATGCACCTGGGCTTGGGTTAAATGTCAACCCCTTATCTCTCTTTCTGAAACAAATTATCGAAATTCTTTCAACCTGTGGAAGGCATTTTAACCACAGGAGTGAATGTAAAGTGTATTTCAGTTCTTTTAAGGAAGTTCACAAGCAGATGTGATGTTTTTCTTGCTTACAGTGTACAGAGATAAGCCAACTGAACTAGAATTTTTGAGAAAAAAATACAAACTGAAGCACACAATCTTCACTGGTTTTCAGCTGATACGTTTTCAAGGGGTTTGTGCTTAATTGAGCTTATTTGAGGTTCAATAGAGATTATAAAGGAGGAGTCATATCCTAGCTTGAAGTAGGAATTTTCACTGGTTTCTGAGTTTCTGGTGCAGTACAAAAGTGCAGCTGAGTCCCCATGGAATAACTGTCATCTTGTATTTGTGTTTTTAAGATAAGCTCCCATGAGGCTCCAAAACCCTTTAAATTGAATTTACAGAAGGAGAATCCCACGGACTCCTTTGTGGGATAAGGGTAGGATTCTGCAGAAATGACATTTTTTAAGGGAGGTATAACATGTTTGAGCTCATTTTTCACTGCCTTTATCATTCCTAT